GCGGTAAGTGTGCTGCTGAAACAATACTAATCTGCGCGTCGTTTAACGCTTGTACGCCACGTGGCAAATGTAATGTGTTCGGGCTGTGTCGGGCAGTAGTTGGGAGGGTTCTTGAGTAGTCGAATACAAAAAAAATCATCCATTATGAATGAAATGGCTGTAAGTTCAGGTTTAAGTACACCCATCAACTCGGGAAACTTAATCTCGTAGCCACGCCAGACTGCCGCCTGACCCGCGGAATTCTATATTCTGGCGAGGGAGTTAGAGGCTAATTGTGGGTCGGGAGGCGTAATTTTAGTAAGCCCTCTCTCCCTGCATCCACTCTAAACAATGGTAAACAGCTGCGACTGAACTCTCCAACGCAGGCTGGCAACTGAGATCTGGGAGTTCCAGAGGCTGTCAGGGATTTGGGGGAAGGAGTCAAAAGTACAACACCTCCCGATCTCAGAGATTGGGTTTCCACCTGAGTTACAAAACAGCCGAAATATATAATGGGAACTAGAATACAGTATCTAACAATGCCGAAAGCAGGGAGAACTAACACGTAAATTTGTACTGTTTTGAGCGGTGTACTATTATGCAACTGACAAAAAACCAGACACTTTTAAAGTTCCGGGAAGATTTACAGATTTCCCTGGACAGATACTTAGAGAAAAGAGGACGTTCTGGTAAAACCAGGACAGGTGGCAACCATCATCAGAGCTGGATGCCTGTGGTTGTTGATGATGAAGAATAACTCCATGTGCCTGGGTACGTGTTCTGTGTTCTAAACGTGCAGCAAACGCTCACCAGAACTTCAGTTGCCGCATCCAAATGAAGGAAATCAAAAACAGCTCCGGAGTAATTATAGTATACTGGACGCATAACCCACACGGTGGTGGGTTTTTATTTATTTTTGGTGCGGTGATATTTGTGTCGTTGGTTACAGGCAGCTCAGCTGTTCGCGGAATGTAAACCCCCACCACAAGCAGCAATCTGACGGTCACCGCGCTGGTAAACGTGCACCCTTCTGTAGCTGCGTCGAACTTCTTTCGCGCCGTACGCAAACAACCGCGCCAATCATCACGAAGCTCCCATCATTTGATGAGAAACGTCAAAACATCGTGGCCCAACGGCAGGCGGTCCAAGACTAGTTGCGTGGTAAATCAGCGAAAACCTACGAATCAGTGGTGCACATTCGTCTGTATATATAAAATCCACGCACTTTGTGAAACATTCCTCCGATTAATTGTACCTTTGGACACGGCGGTGTCGCATTCATTGGAGAACTTGCCCTTACAAGAATGTTGTTGCCATCAGGGATATGGGAAGAGTCTCGTAGCTGACACGACCGCGCACCCTCCCGGCGTCGCACTCCCGCGGCAAAAGGGGGATGACGATGTTGAATAACTGCACGAGAGCATCGGGTGGATGCTGCGGACAGCCGATGCATGCATCGAGAGACTCTCAAGGACACCCCACGGTGTACTGAATCTGTTGAAAAACTTCACAACTTTTGTGGAACGTCGGGTGAACGAACCCACCACTCGCATTCATCGCACCAGAAAAAAAAATCTGAACTTCACTCCAGTCCAGTCAAGAGCTTCTACCAATTGTTCCTATTCCACCAAATGACACGTTCATCACGACCACTAAAGGATGGAAATGTTTTTTACGCGGCCATATATTATTTTCCATTTTCTGTTATCGTTGCGCATGCAGACATCAGATTCGGGCGACTAAGGTATTATTATTATTATTTTAACAATCGAAATTTGTGCTGCAAACAAACCATTTGCGGTTACGATTGTCGACAAAGATTGCCCTAACATTGCCCGAATGCATCACGGCCTTCACATCCCGACGAAGGAATCATTACAGGCCATCCACAGTTATCGCGATAAACACCGCACGCTCCAAATTAGAGGCGTTGAGTCACTGCGTAAAGAGGTGCCCCCACCTGCACCGCCCCCCCCTGTAGCCCAGGCACGGAAAGTTCCACAATCGTCGTCGCTACTATTTTTTTTCGAACTTGACCTTTCCAAACCGAAATCTAAAACAAACCAAAAAAAACGGTCCGGGTCTTGACGCGCGTTCTGTCCTGGCTGCCGCATGAATAACTCAACGATTAAAAAAACCGCGGTACGTGGGTTAACCGCACAGCACACGTGGCAGGAATTGCGATTACAGGTCTGAAATTTTATGAGCCCCCCCCCCCGGGGGGCAAGGGTTGCTCGTGACTACTCAACGGCTTAGCGTGGTTGGAATTGACCCCGATGCAAGAAATGAAATTGGAACGAAACTAAAAATTACCGTCCCCCGCCCCCTAATGTCTGCCCTCCCGCCACCCCCACCGTCTTTATAGTCTGGCACCTGGGGCCCTGCGACCCAGAAGCCCCCACTCTTCTCATGGGTCGCAGTGCAATTCCACTGTCTGCACACTCGAGATTGGGGCCTGTGCGAATGTTTGGGTGGTGCGGGTAGGGCAGCGCTTGTGGTAAGCGTGGTTTTTGGTAGGCCCTGGTGGAAGGAATTCCGCCTTCTTCGTCGCCTGGATCCCTACAGCACGATGGGTACCGCAAGCAATATCGCCGCTTTGCATACTCGGTCGCAGGAGCACAAACTTTTCACTTGACATTTGATGACGTGTCCAAGGTGGCTCACATGTTTGTATTACTATCTTACAGCACTGAGCCAACACCACTGATAACCTTTGTTCGATTCCAGGCCACCACCATCCCGTTTCGTAAACTTGGTTATCAAGCGCAATGGGTTGATGGCCCCAAGTTCGATCACCAGAAAATGGATAAGCAGTCACCGCCTTTGCTTCATGTGTCTCTCCAAATAAATAAATGCTTCCTACGCAATCAAACTGCCGTCTGGGAGTGCGAAATTCCAGCAACATTCAGGACAAGCCGACTCTGGACCGGTTTTGACGTGCAGTCTCATCAGCAGTAAGCCTTGAATCAATGCCAGCTGTTATAGGCGACGACCCTCTCTTTCAGATTAATCCTATTTACATTCAAGATTAAATAATGCATAACACAAAGTACAGTATTAGCATCGCTGCTGTGCTAAATATAAATGACAAAACAGGTGATTTCTCATTCATGTACGTCGTTTGTAATATCCGGTTGCCATAATTTTAAATCAGTATTTTTTTTCACTTCATATAAACCTATCCAAGGAATAAAAATGTGGTTTTAAATGGGGGGAACCCTTTGCAAGGCATTAAAAAAATATTCACCCAGAGTGTGGATAGAGGCCTCAACGACTTAGGAAGTCGTTCTTCTGACGTCTTCGCAAACTGGTCCGACAAGGTGTTAGGGTACACTGCTTTCTGCGAGTTTCTAATTTTCTTTGATCTCATTACATGACTCCAATAGCATTAACTTGAAAATAATTTGGATCTAAGTAAACACAATATATCACATTTCCTAAAGTAGCATAAGCCATCGCGCGAACTCCGGTCATCCTCGCAGCAGGTTTTTGGCTGGCCATTGATCAAAGAAGCTATCAAATACGCTTCTCAGGCCGTCTGGAACACTTTCTTCCGATGTTAGGAAGCCACTAGAGCTATGCTCTTTAAATCTAGATTGAAAACTCACGTAATTACAGTTGCTTTTTGTTTAGTTGTACTTCCCTGCATCTACGTACGGTGCGAAAGACGTTCAACATACTCTATTGACATTTGGTGTTTGTGCATGCCCAGATATGTAGCCCTGGTGGTACCACTTAGTATTCTTTATTTGACCAGGATATCAATACAACATAATAGCAGGGTCATTCGCACACAAAACCGCACGGCCACGTTATGTCCCACATTACGCTGGCAGGAATTGTTGCGAAATTGCAATGTGATTTGCCCCATTGAGAGGTGAGTAAAATAAAGGTGCAGTCGAAATCTCTTAGGGCACCGCAGTGTCGAGATATTAACCTCACCTGGTATACAGGTCGTGAATTTGATCCCAATCCCGACCATGCCTGTAGTATGCATCTCTTCCCGTGGTTGCTTGTATTTTTCTCCAGTTTCCCTCCACATTCGAAACATGCCCTTGAGTATTGGGACTGCTATAAATGTTCAGTGGGCCTTACCTGGCGATTATTTTAAGTGGCGTTTAGTTTATCTCGGTGCAATATCGTGCGTCTTATTGACAACCCACACAAAAGCGCTTCTCGATTCGCACTCTTTCGGGGATGTTTGTAAACCACTATTATCCAAATGTCAATGGGGGGAACCTATAATTTTTTACTCTGAACGAGTCACAGGAGTTTTATTGCAGTAAGATTAAGGTGCTAAGTATTATACAGCAAAAGAACGTGGAAATTAAACATTTACACGCATCAGCCTGTCAATCCACTGCTGGATAGAGGCCCCAAGTACCTCATCTCATGTTGCTAGAATGCACCCAACAGCGGACCATACCTTGCCAACCACATTCCATTAATTGGTTATCGGTCACAACTGGACGAAATGTGGGTTTGGAGGCATTTTCCCAATGAAAAATTGCAAGCCAAGTGGCAGCCTACAAGTTTGTATGGCCATTTGAGGGTGCATATGCATGCGATGTTCACCAAGTGCAAAATTCCAGATGACTGTAAATTTTCATATCTGGAAAAGCCTTTCCATGTTAAAACACTCAAGCTGCAAATACAACCCTGCTGCTCGAATGGACCCAGGTTTCCAGAAAATAGGGTTAGACCAAAGCAAGTCAACCTCGAACCAACAAAATGTTATTGGCGACACTTGACAATATCTCCAAACGCCTTACAAATTGTACTTTAGAAAATTTCAGTGCCTCGGGGCTGGTACTTAAGTGTGCAAATCAATTTACATTTAATTATCGTGATTTTCAGGCCTTACCTGTACAGAAATTTGCCAGTATTTGCACGGTACAGTACTCGACAAATACCAAAAAGCCATGCTACATAGTTGCAGACATTGCAGCAAGTCTTCCATTGTACCAGTCCATCGGGGTTTTATGAAACCCGAATTCAAATATTTAAAAGCAAAAACAGAATCCATTCACCATAAATCTTTATTATTTATAATGCACAAACAACATAAAGTACTTTCGACATCTAGTGCGTGTAGATTAGTGGAAATCCAATGTTAAGGAATCGTTTACTGTAACTCCATGCAACATATAATATATAGAGTTGCACAAGCTGTTGAAAAAAGTTAACCCTTTTAAAATTATGCTGGAATTAAGACAGCCTGGAATGTCGAAGGTAATTTAGCTAATTTTAAATGCCCCCCCGAGGGTGAAATCTTTCTGCATGGTGTCACTTGGCTCCACGTCGAGGGTGATGGTCTTGCCCATCAAGGTCTTCACGAAGATCTGCATGCCACCACGGAGACGCAGGACCAGGTGGAGGGTGGATTCTTTCTGGATGTTGTAGTCGGACAGCGTGCGGCCATCTTCCAACTGCTTGCCCGCGAAGATCAGTCGCTGCTGGTCGGGAGGAATGCCTTCCTTGTCCTGGATCTTTGCCTTGACGTTCTCGATGGTGTCACTTGGCTCCACCTCCAGGGTGATGGTCTTGCCCGTCAGGGTCTTCACGAAGATCTGCATGCCACCACGGAGACGCAGGACCAGGTGGAGGGTGGATTCTTTCTGGATGTTGTAGTCGGACAGCGTGCGGCCATCTTCCAACTGCTTGCCCGCGAAGATCAGTCGCTGCTGGTCGGGAGGAATGCCTTCCTTGTCCTGGATCTTTGCCTTGACGTTCTCGATGGTGTCACTTGGCTCCACCTCCAGGGTGATGGTCTTGCCCGTCAGGGTCTTCACGAAGATCTGCATGCCACCACGGAGACGCAGGACCAGGTGGAGGGTGGATTCTTTCTGGATGTTGTAGTCGGACAGCGTGCGGCCATCTTCCAACTGCTTGCCCGCGAAGATCAGTCGCTGCTGGTCGGGAGGAATGCCTTCCTTGTCCTGGATCTTTGCCTTGACGTTCTCGATGGTGTCACTTGGCTCCACCTCCAGGGTGATGGTCTTGCCCGTCAGGGTCTTCACGAAGATCTGCATGCCACCACGGAGACGCAGGACCAGGTGGAGGGTGGATTCTTTCTGGATGTTGTAGTCGGACAGCGTGCGGCCATCTTCCAACTGCTTGCCCGCGAAGATCAGTCGCTGCTGGTCGGGAGGAATGCCTTCCTTGTCCTGGATCTTTGCCTTGACGTTCTCGATGGTGTCACTTGGCTCCACCTCCAGGGTGATGGTCTTGCCCGTCAGGGTCTTCACGAAGATCTGCATGCCACCACGGAGACGCAGGACCAGGTGGAGGGTGGATTCTTTCTGGATGTTGTAGTCGGACAGCGTGCGGCCATCTTCCAACTGCTTGCCCGCGAAGATCAGTCGCTGCTGGTCGGGAGGAATGCCTTCCTTGTCCTGGATCTTTGCCTTGACGTTCTCGATGGTGTCACTTGGCTCCACCTCCAGGGTGATGGTCTTGCCCGTCAGGGTCTTCACGAAGATCTGCATGCCACCACGGAGACGCAGGACCAGGTGGAGGGTGGATTCTTTCTGGATGTTGTAGTCGGACAGCGTGCGGCCATCTTCCAACTGCTTGCCCGCGAAGATCAGTCGCTGCTGGTCGGGAGGAATGCCTTCCTTGTCCTGGATCTTTGCCTTGACATTCTCGATGGTGTCACTTGGCTCCACCTCCAGGGTGATGGTCTTGCCCGTCAGGGTCTTCACGAAGATCTGCATGCCACCACGGAGACGCAGGACCAGGTGGAGGGTGGATTCTTTCTGGATGTTGTAGTCGGACAGCGTGCGGCCATCTTCCAACTGCTTGCCCGCGAAGATCAGTCGCTGCTGGTCGGGAGGAATGCCTTCCTTGTCCTGGATCTTTGCCTTGACGTTCTCGATGGTGTCACTTGGCTCCACCTCCAGGGTGATGGTCTTGCCCGTCAGGGTCTTCACGAAGATCTGCATGCCACCACGGAGACGCAGGACCAGGTGGAGGGTGGATTCTTTCTGGATGTTGTAGTCGGACAGCGTGCGGCCATCTTCCAACTGCTTGCCCGCGAAGATCAGTCGCTGCTGGTCGGGAGGAATGCCTTCCTTGTCCTGGATCTTTGCCTTGACGTTCTCGATGGTGTCACTTGGCTCCACCTCCAGGGTGATGGTCTTGCCCGTCAGGGTCTTCACGAAGATCTGCATGCCACCACGGAGACGCAGGACCAGGTGGAGGGTGGATTCTTTCTGGATGTTGTAGTCGGACAGCGTGCGGCCATCTTCCAACTGCTTGCCCGCGAAGATCAGTCGCTGCTGGTCGGGAGGAATGCCTTCCTTGTCCTGGATCTTTGCCTTGACGTTCTCGATGGTGTCACTTGGCTCCACCTCCAGGGTGATGGTCTTGCCCGTCAGGGTCTTCACGAAGATCTGCATGCCACCACGGAGACGCAGGACCAGGTGGAGGGTGGATTCTTTCTGGATGTTGTAGTCGGACAGCGTGCGGCCATCTTCCAACTGCTTGCCCGCGAAGATCAGTCGCTGCTGGTCGGGAGGAATGCCTTCCTTGTCCTGGATCTTTGCCTTGACGTTCTCGATGGTGTCACTTGGCTCCACCTCCAGGGTGATGGTCTTGCCCGTCAGGGTCTTCACGAAGATCTGCATGCCACCACGGAGACGCAGGACCAGGTGGAGGGTGGATTCTTTCTGGATGTTGTAGTCGGACAGCGTGCGGCCATCTTCCAACTGCTTGCCCGCGAAGATCAGTCGCTGCTGGTCGGGAGGAATGCCTTCCTTGTCCTGGATCTTTGCCTTGACGTTCTCGATGGTGTCACTTGGCTCCACCTCGAGAGTGATGGTCTTGCCCGTCAGGGTCTTCACGAAGATCTGCATGCCACCACGGAGACGCAGGACCAGGTGGAGGGTGGATTCTTTCTGGATGTTGTAGTCGGACAGCGTGCGGCCATCTTCCAACTGCTTGCCTGCGAAGATCAGTCGCTGCTGGTCGGGAGGAATGCCTTCCTTGTCCTGGATCTTTGCCTTGACGTTCTCGATGGTGTCACTTGGCTCCACCTCCAGGGTGATGGTCTTGCCTGTCAGGGTCTTCACGAAGATCTGCATGCCACCACGGAGACGCAGGACCAGGTGGAGGGTGGATTCTTTCTGGATGTTGTAGTCGGACAGCGTGCGGCCATCTTCCAACTGCTTGCCCGCGAAGATCAGTCGCTGCTGGTCGGGAGGAATGCCTTCCTTGTCCTGGATCTTTGCCTTGACGTTCTCGATGGTGTCACTTGGCTCCACTTCCAGGGTGATGGTCTTGCCCGTCAGGGTCTTCACGAAGATCTGCATGCCACCACGGAGACGCAGGACCAGGTGGAGGGTGGATTCTTTCTGGATGTTGTAGTCGGACAGCGTGCGGCCATCTTCCAACTGCTTGCCCGCGAAGATCAGTCGCTGCTGGTCGGGAGGAATGCCTTCCTTGTCCTGGATCTTTGCCTTGACGTTCTCGATGGTGTCACTTGGCTCCACCTCCAGGGTGATGGTCTTGCCCGTCAGGGTCTTCACGAAGATCTGCATGCCACCACGGAGACGCAGGACCAGGTGGAGGGTGGATTCTTTCTGGATGTTGTAGTCGGACAGCGTGCGGCCATCTTCCAACTGCTTGCCCGCGAAGATCAGTCGCTGCTGGTCGGGAGGAATGCCTTCCTTGTCCTGGATCTTTGCCTTGACATTCTCGATGGTGTCACTTGGCTCCACCTCCAGGGTGATGGTCTTGCCCGTCAGGGTCTTCACGAAGATCTGCATGCCACCACGGAGACGCAGGACCAGGTGGAGGGTGGATTCTTTCTGGATGTTGTAGTCGGACAGCGTGCGGCCATCTTCCAACTGCTTGCCCGCGAAGATCAGTCGCTGCTGGTCGGGAGGAATGCCTTCCTTGTCCTGGATCTTTGCCTTGACGTTCTCGATGGTGTCACTTGGCTCCACCTCCAGGGTGATGGTCTTGCCCGTCAGGGTCTTCACGAAGATCTGCATGCCACCACGGAGACGCAGGACCAGGTGGAGGGTGGATTCTTTCTGGATGTTGTAGTCGGACAGCGTGCGGCCATCTTCCAACTGCTTGCCCGCGAAGATCAGTCGCTGCTGGTCGGGAGGAATGCCTTCCTTGTCCTGGATCTTTGCCTTGACGTTCTCGATGGTGTCACTTGGCTCCACCTCGAGAGTGATGGTCTTGCCCGTCAGGGTCTTCACGAAGATCTGCATGCCACCACGGAGACGCAGGACCAGGTGGAGGGTGGATTCTTTCTGGATGTTGTAGTCGGACAGCGTGCGGCCATCTTCCAACTGCTTGCCCGCGAAGATCAGTCGCTGCTGGTCGGGAGGAATGCCTTCCTTGTCCTGGATCTTTGCCTTGACGTTCTCGATGGTGTCACTTGGCTCCACCTCCAGGGTGATGGTCTTGCCCGTCAGGGTCTTCACGAAGATCTGCATGCCACCACGGAGACGCAGGACCAGGTGGAGGGTGGATTCTTTCTGGATGTTGTAGTCGGACAGCGTGCGGCCATCTTCCAACTGCTTGCCCGCGAAGATCAGTCGCTGCTGGTCGGGAGGAATGCCTTCCTTGTCCTGGATCTTTGCCTTGACGTTCTCGATGGTGTCACTTGGCTCAACCTCGAGAGTGATGGTCTTGCCCGTCAGGGTCTTCACGAAGATCTGCATGCCACCACGGAGACGCAGGACCAGGTGGAGGGTGGATTCTTTCTGGATGTTGTAGTCGGACAGCGTGCGGCCATCTTCCAACTGCTTGCCCGCGAAGATCAGTCGCTGCTGGTCGGGAGGAATGCCTTCCTTGTCCTGGATCTTTGCCTTGACGTTCTCGATGGTGTCACTTGGCTCCACCTCGAGAGTGATGGTCTTGCCCGTCAGGGTCTTCACGAAGATTTGCATGATTAAATCTGAAAAATAAAATATAAAGACAAAAACCCCCATCCGGTTATTCCCCTTGAAACACTTCAACATTTTTCAAACCTTTTCATTTCCGCTTTCACAACACAGTACACTGCTCTGTATAGCCCAATAAAGACACAGCAAAAGCACTAAGTTGAAGGGTCAAGTTGAATGACGCGCAGCGTTCTTGTTCAATCAGTTGAGTCACTCTTGCATCAGGCGCCACTCCCAACCCCCTCGCTTGCTTAAGCCAGTGAACAGAGGCGGGCAAAAATTAATTGCATCGTCAGCTTTCCCGTTTGCACAAGGTGTTCAAATGTCGAGGGGGGGGGGGGGGGTTAATAAACTTTATTTTTATTTTACCAGGTTAGGCCCAAAGTGTTTACAGTAACGAACATTCAGTATTTTAGATTTGTATAAAATGGTGACAGCCAATATGGCGTCTCATGTTTATCGTGTTTCAACTAAAAAAAAGGTAGGCTTTTGTTATTTTTAAAATGTATCGTACGGTAATTTATAACTACGCAACCTTTTATTTTTAACGGTGTAATTTGTTAAATTTTAAAATAAACAATTTACACGATTAACTCTACATCGCATAACAGGGCGGCGAAAGAGACAGAAAAAATAACCCGTGACGCAGCCAACGGGCAGACGTTAGCAAAAAGTCACGTTTCACGTTACAAAAATCAACAGAACGCTAGGCCCAAGACGCAAAACGTTAATACGCTTAACGACAACGTTATAAAGCAGCAAGAAAAAAACCATCGTAAAAACCTTTCGCCGAATTAAAGCAATACATTTTTATTTATTTTTTTACCTCAGACGCGACCGCGTTTCGACTTAAAATGGCGTCGCGGCCGAATCTTCACGAGCGCCAAACTCTCTCGCCACAACCAACGCGTCAAACTACTTCCACCCACACCGGGCATCGCGATCTCCCACACACAACAAAAAAAATCGTTAACATTCTAAATCATATTCTTGGTTCTTTCGGTAAAATCCCGTAGAAGGGAAACAATAAAATATTAAAAATATAACATTTTTTTATTGTTTCCCCTTCTACGTGACTTTACCGCAAGGAACCAAGAATAAGAATCCCTGCAGTCACGAAAGCTTTGAATCAAAAAATTCGAAATAATGTTTAACTCAGAACTGACCGTTTTGGGTGCACGAAGCGGCGAAAGAAACCTCTCACGCAGACGCTGACAGCACGGGTACGAAGAACGAAGACAACAACGTAGTTTGGGTTATGGAGGACGGCGGCACCGCGGTCGGTTTATATAGCGCCGCGTGTATCCATCCGCTTTTGTCTCGCGCGGCGGAGGCGGCGGCGGCGTCGTCCGCCGAGGGCTTCGCTTGCTTCCCCATTGGCTGACGGTTCCCGATTACGCGCCAATCACGCGCGCGAACGTGGGTGTCGGTGGGGATTATTTTCTTTGCGTGACTCCTGTTTGTCAGCATAAATTAAAAACAACCACAATTTAGCAGCGTCATCGCCGTTTGTTCTGCCGTCAAACCTGTTGTGACAGAGCGGGCAGCCTGGTAGTTCACGCGAGGCGGACGTTAGCGTTCACGCGAGGCGGCGACCCGAGTTCGATTCCCGATCACGGCGCAACACCGGTTGTGATTATCTGAACCGGTTCTGGGCCCCCGTCCCCCCCTAAGTCGACTCGGCTTCAAACGAGTAACCTGGTGGCGGTGTGTCGTGTAAACATCGCCACTGGGGGAGACAAAGGCGGCCGGGGCGTGGTGCTCGCCACCCACCCGCTCGTGTGTCGTTCCGGCCTTCATTGGTGCTCGCTCACAGCACTTGCCCCCTACAGTCTGTTAAGGCTACACGGGGGATTATGTGTCTTGGTTGTCGCATAAGGACACCGCTACGCTACAGTCGATTATTACGTGTAGTTCAATGAAGGGACCTTGTTCAATGAGTCACCATTCAACAACATCACCCCCCACCCCGCAACCACCATCCATCCACGACGACGACGTTACAGAGGGTTGGGTGAAGTGACAATATCGCTCAAAAACGCGACACACTCGTCATCAATACCTGTACAATATACCGTGGCCTTAAAAGGGCAAAACACGCATGATATGCGACGTTCCGGGTAAAATGGCAATTTCTTCAAAGTACATCGTTTACAGTGAAGTGTGGTAACTAGGGTTTACTGAAAATGTGGAAAATAATACCCGCTCACAAGGGGTATTTTTTGTCACTAAATAGATAGCCAGTCCAAGGGCAAACCCCCTCATAATTTAAGGAACACTGCACACAATCGTCTGTAAGTGATGTCCTTCTTAAATGAGTATTGAGGTGGTACTAGCACATGAACTGCCCTGAGCCAGTGGCGAAACTCCACAATTGTATGCCGGGTGCGAGTTTATTCATATGACAACCACAGTCTTCCCACACAGTGGTACGTATTTCTTTTATCGACCACGGAGTGATGATGGGCCGAGCCAACAACCCTCAATCATGGGTTGAACTCGCGGCCTTCCGATTGCGGGCCGCTCGCTCTACCGCCGAGCACCGTGGCAGGATAATAGACAAAGATCCCCCATAAAGGCCACACAGGCTGTTGGGGCAAGTGCTTTTAGCGAACACCTATGAAGACCGATGAGGAAGTGGTGTAGCCAGAACTACACGCGGCTGCCTTTACTCGTTTAAGGCCGAGTAGACCTAGGGGAGGACCAGGTCCGGTTTAGATGTTCGCCACTGGTGTTAGTCGTGGCCCGGGAGTCGAACTCTGATCGCCGAGTTCATCAGCGGGCAAACCACTGCGATAAAGCTCGACTGATACAGAATGTGAATTCCAGAATATTCCTGTACTCTACATATCCCTGTATGCGGCATAATGCCACTCTTTATGCTGTAATCATACCCACTACAATACTACGGTAGATTCTACAGCCATCACACACGAGTTCATGATCGAATGTTGAATAGCTACATCACATAACCTGTCATGAACCAACATGCTTGACATCTAATTACATTATGGGACCTCTAATTACAGCCACCAGCAGCAAACATTTTTCGCCTCGCCACCCGCACGATTGGTTACTCTCCTCCGTGACCATTAATCCTGCGTTATAGTCGATGAGTCAGTGGCGTGATGACTACAAATAGTGGCGAATAACAATCGTCACCAACCACACCCAGGGGAGTAAAGAGAATGACGTAAATTCTTTTCGTTCACCGCACATTCTCAAACACTGCATTAAAGTGGCATGCAAGATGTGACATTGGTGACATCAGAAACTTGAGGTACTACAATATTAGAACTACTAGAAGTGATATTCTTAGCTCTTTCGGTAAAATCACGTTGAAGGGAAACAATAAAATAATAATATATATAAAACAAGCTTTAAATCAAAATTTACTAGAAGTGACTTTACCGAAAGAACCAAAGAGTAATTCCTGCAGTCACGAAAGCTTCAAATCAAATATTAGAACTAGTTATTACTGTACGGTATATGGTTGGATGCTTTTTTTATTCTTCCTATCCACAACCCTATTATCTGTGACCCTATTATCCACAATTATCTGCGGATTTTGGTTTATACTTTGAGGAACGTAATGTAATGTAGAATAATGTAATAGACATTACGTGCGACTGCTAATTGGAAAACAAGAATAGCTGGCTGGGTCATCTGTCAGTAGACGAAATGTAGCCGAATCTCGCGAGTGAAAGATACTGTAACGACGTATTATTTTTCCGTGTAAAGTCCCACCGAAACTCTCAAGACTCTTCGTTCCGTGGGGGATTGTTGGCCAATCCCAATTAATTCGTAATTCGTGAGAGCCAAACCAGAGGTGAGAGGCATTTGAGCGGTTATGCAACGGTGGTGGTCGTACATTGAACGAACAAGTAAACTGGTGGAGGGCTCAAACAAAACCTGGCTTTAGCTACCGTCCAGATCTGACGAAATCCGGCGTATTCAGGGTGATCTGATCATCATGTGCGCACGTGGGTTTTACGTGGCAACGTGGGGATGTTAAATCATGTGGTGTCGTGGCAGCATTGGTCTTCATCTAATCCATAAAAAAATGTACTAGAATAGAAATACTGTCTATGTACGTTGTCGGAAAGGGTGTTTCAGATGGGGTTAGAAATAAACGATGACGGTATATACGGTATTTTAAAAAAAAACACGTGGTACGGTGTATATCTCAAACTAGATTCGAAGCTTTCGTGACTGCAGGAATTACTCTTTGGTTATTTCGGTAAAGTCACGTAGAAAATAAAATCGAATAATAGAATACGAAGCTTCGGTTGCAACACAAGCAACCATCATCAGGTAAGAATTAATGATAAAACACAGACACGGGAACATCATTGGCAGACACATATGTCTGCCTATGCTGTTGATGGTTGCTTGTTGCAACCGAAACGTCGTATTCCATTATTATTTGATTTTATTTTCTACGTGACTTTACCTAAAGCACCAACGGGTGTATATCTCTTTAACTATTAAGTATTCTACACGCAGTGCAATACAATATTTTACAATCACGTGTATCGGGTGTGCCCTGCGTTATACTTGTAGTACTTCTGGGTGGACAGAGATGAGGTTACAAAAATTTACTCGCCCATTATATTAACCGCCGCGCCAAAGGGGCGTCTATTCGAACCTGCGATCTCTAATGTAGGGCTGCAAGTCCAGCACTCCATTGATAATTAAAACCATAAACACCGCCACATCATGTTATCATTGGGTACTGGTGGCCATGCCGTCTCGTGACCCAGATAATGTTTGTTAGAACCTCAAACACAGCTGCAGGATACGCCATGAATTGTGGATATTCATCGAACTGTGGCGTCCCGCCAATAGAAAGCACCCGAAGGCGACCGGGACGAGCTGCTGACCACCCACCCACTCGCGTGTTCGTTCCGGCCTTCGTAGGTGCTCGCTAGCAGCACTTGCCCCCGCAGTCTGTTGAGCCTACACGGGGGACCTTTGCCTTTGGAGCTTGTAAGGTTGGACGTTGGGTGGGGGTTGTGGGGAGGGGCGAGTTGGAAGGCGGGGGGCGGGGCAAAGCCCAAATTGGGCGGCACTCGCGCGGACGAGTGGGAATGTGGCCCCGAGGGGGGGGGGAGTGGTAGAGAGCGGAGGGGGCGGAGTTGCTCGGAAGCCCATTTCTAGTAGGCGGGGCCCATCTGGGCGGAACCAAACGTCCCCGAGCAGCCAATCGACTCGCTTTGCGCAGTCCACGCCGCCGCGCCATTGGTCGAGCCTGTTGCTGGGCGAAGGCGTCCTCGAATTCTCCAGCGCGCTTTTGCCGTTGCCGCGAATCCGATTGGTGGAGCGCGCCTCGGTTGGGGAGCCGTCGCGCTATTGGCTGGCGACCGACAGTGCGCGCTACGTAATGCAAAAAGCGGGTTACTGCGGTATATATTTTTTTGGTTGTTGTTGTTGCTGCTGCCGGCGCTGGTACTACCCTGCATATTTAATGTTATTTACTCGCCTTAGAAGCGACGCACAAAGCACACTCGCTATGAATAAAAACGGCACGCGAATGCATTTACGAAAACAATGTGTTCCGCGCGCTTTCGCTCGAGCAAAAAAGCTTAAGCTGTCGCCAAGTGTCTATGCCCAATGGTCGAATAATAAAAGCTTATGCCACTCGTATATTGACTTAAAAGCTTTCGTGACTTGCAGGGATTCATATTCTTTGGGTCTTTCGGTAAAGTCACGTAGATAGGTTCAAAGAAAATAAAACTATTACGGTCGTCATCCTGATTTGTTGCGTTGCGATCGAAACGTAATTTTTATTTTCTTTTAACCTATCTACGTGACCGCTTGTGTTGCGATCGAAACGTCCTTTTTTATTTTCTTTTAACCTATCTACGTGACTTTACAGAAAGACCCATTGAATAATCCCACTTGTTTTAGTGGCGTTAAAGTTCCCGCCAAAATGTACGCGTGCATTACTATTGCAACCGTGTTGCAAACGATTGTACGGTGCAACATATATAATCTTATCATTCCTCGTCGTAATTTCCCTCAAAATAGGGATGTAAACGTTATTTTGTTCTCCAATTTGCGTGGTTTTAGCTTCAGATTTAACTAACAGATAAGCGCAAACCACATTCGTCAATCTATGTCGTCATTCTCTTCATATTTGTTTAAAGAAATAATAAAAACATGTTTGCCACAAGGGATTGGCTCTCTTCGGATGCTTTGTTCTCCACTACCGCCTGACAACAGCGATGCTGAGCGTTAATAGGTTAGCTGTGGTCGGTCTAATTAGTGAGGATTATAATTATACCGACCACATCTTTATACTTTAATACTGCAGTGATA